CAAGGCAAAGGTGGAAGACACGTGGCCGCATCGGGCACTGAAGGCGGGAGGAGGAGGAGGAGGACGAGGAGGAGGAGGAGGAGGAGGGCGCTCGGGAAAGGAGGGGAGCACGCTCAGAACGTGAAGCCCTTGCACGTGTGTGTGTGTGTGTGTGTGTCCGTGTGTGTCTGTGTGTGTGTCTGTGTGTGTCTGTGTGTGTGTCTGTGTGTGTGTCTGTGTGTGTGCCTGTGTGTGTGTGCCTGTGTGTGTGTCTGTGTGTGTCTCTGTGTGCCTGTGTGTGTCTGTCTGTGTCTGTGTGTGTTTGTGTGTGTCTGTGTGTGTGTCTGTGTGTGTGTCTGTGTGAGTGTCTGTGTGTGTGTCTGTGTGTGTGTCTCTGTGTGTCTCTGTGTGTCTGTGTGTGTGTGTGTCTGTGTGTGCCTGTCTGTGTGTGTCTGTGAGTGTCTGCCTGTGTGTCTGCCTGTGTGTCTGCCTGTGCATCTGCATGTGTGTCTGCCTGTGTGTCGGCCTGTGTGTCGGCCTGTGTGTCTGCCTGTGAGTGTCTGTCTGTGTGTGTCTGCCTGTGTGTATGCTGTGTCTGCCTGTGCGTGTCTGCCTGTGAGTGTCTGCCTGTGTGTGTGTCTGCCTGTGTGTGTCTGCCTGCCTGCCTGTGGGTGCCTGTGTGTGCCTGTGTGTGTTTCTGTGTGTCTGTGTGTGCCTGTGTGTGCCTGTGTGTGTCTGTGTGTGTCGGTGTGTGTGTGTGTGTGTCTGTGTGTGTGTCTGTGTGTCTGTGTGTATGTCTGTGTGTGGCTGTGGCTGTGTCTGTGTGTCTGTGTGGTGTGGTGTGTGTCTGTGTGCGTGTCTGTGTGTGTGTCTGTGTGTGTGTTTGTCTGTGTGTGTCTGTGTGTGTGCCTGTGTGTGTCTGTCTCAGTGTGTCTGTCTCAGTGTGTCTGTCTGTGTGCCTTTGTGTGTCTGTGTGTGTATGTGTGTGTGTGTGTGTCTGTGTGTGTGTGTGTCTGTGTGTGTGTCTTTGTGTGTGTGTCTGTGTGTGTCTGTGTGTGTGTCTGTGTGTGTCTATGTGTGGCTGTGTGTGACTGTATGTGTGTCAGTGTGTGTCTGTGTGTTTCTGTGTGTGTCTGTGTGTGCCTGTGTGTGTGTTTGTGTGTGTCTGTGTGTGTCTCTGTGTGTCTCTGTGTGCCTGTGTGTGTCTGTCTGTGTCTGTGTGTGTTTGTGTGTGTCTGTCTGTGTGTGTCTGTGTGTGTCTGTGTGTGTCTGCCTCTGTGTGGCTGCCTTTGTGTGTCTGCGTGTGTGTCTGGTTGCTTCTGTGTGTGCCTGTGTGTGTCTGTGTGTGTCTGTGTGTGTGTGTCTCTGTGTGTCTCTCTGTGTGTCTGTGTGTGTGTCTGTGTGTATGTCTGTGTGTGTCTGTGTGTGCCTGTGTGTGTCTGTGCGTGTCTGTCTGTGTGTGCCTGTGTGTGTCTGTGTATGTCTGTGTGTGTCTGTGTGTGTCTGCGTGTGTCTGCCTCTGTGTGGCTGCCTGTGTGTGTCTGCCTGTGTGTGTCTGCCTGTGTGTGTGTCTGTCTTTGTGTGTCTGCCTGTGTGTGTCTGCCTGTGTGTGTGCCTGTGTGTGTCTGCCTGTGTGTCTGCCTGTGCGTGTATGCCTGCCTGCCTGTGTGTGTGCCTGTGTGTGTCTGTGTGTGTCTGTGTGTATGTGTCTCTGTGTGTCTATGTGTGTCTGTGTGGGGCTGTGTGTGCCCGTGTGTGTCTGTGTGTGTCTGTGTGTGTGCCTGTGTGTGTGTCTGTGTGTGTGTCTGTGTGTGTCTGCGTGTTTCTGTGTGTGTCTGTGTGTGTGTGTGTCAGTGTGTGTGTCTATGTGTGGCTGTGTGTGTCTGTGTGTGTCAGTGTGTGTCTGTGTGTATGTGTGTGTGTCTGTGTGTGTCTGTGTGTCTCTGTGTGTCTCTGTGTGTGTGTCTGTGTGGTGTGGTGTGTGTCTGCGTGTGTGCCTGTGCGTGTCTGTGCGTGCCTGTGCGTGCCTCTGTTTGTGTTTGTGTGTGTGTCTGTGTGTCTGTGTGAGTGTGTGTCTGTGTGTGTCTGTGTGTCTGTGTGTGTCTGTGTTTGTCTGTGTGTGTGTCTGTGTGGGTGTGTCTGTGTGTGTCTGTGTGTGTGCGTCTGTGTGTGTCTGTGTGTGTGTGTCTGTGTGTGCCTGTGTGTGTCTGTGTGCGTCTGTGTGTGTGTCTGTGTGTGGCTGTGTGTGTCTGTGCGTGTTTGTGTGTGTCTGTGTGTGTCTGTGTGTGTCTCTGTGTGTGTCTCTCTGTGTGTCTGTGTGTGTGTGTCTGTGTGTGCGTCTGTGTGTGTCTGTGTGTGTCTGTGTGTCTCTGTATATGCCTGTGTGTGTGTCTGTGTGTGTCTGTGTGTGTCTGTGTGCTTTTGTGTGTGTGACTGTGTGTGTGTCTGTGTGTGCCTGTGTGTGTCTGTGTGTGTGTCTGTGTGTGTGGCTGTGTGTGTGTCTGTGTGTGTGTCTGTGTGTGTTTCTGTGTGTTGTGTGTGTGTCTGTGTGTGTTGTGTGTTGTGTGTTGTTTGTGTTGTGTGTGTCTGTGTGTGTTGTGCGTTGTGTGTTGTGTGTTGTGTCTGCCTGTGTGTGTTGTGTGTTGTGTGTGTTGTGTTGAAGTGTGTGTCTGTATGTATAAGTGTGGGTCTGTGTGTAAGTGTGTTTAAGTGTGTGTGGTGTGTTTTGTGTGTGTGTGTGTTTGTGTGTGGTGTGTGTGTGTCTGTGTGTGTGGGTGGTGTGTGTGTTTGTGTGCGTGCCAGGGTCACAGGCGTGCACAGAAAGAGAGGACGTGGGAAACTCCGAGGACGTGAGCAGCACTCGAATTCAGGAGCCACCCGGCTCAAGCGTACATCGAAGAAGAAAAAACGCCATAAACATAAATTGTTGGCGCTCCGCGCGGATTTCTTGGATGCTCGCTGGGGCCCCCCCCGCGGCGCCTCCGGCACCGCCCATAGCGCGCTCCGCGCGCCAGGAAGGGGGGTCCAGCGCTGATCCAAGAAGTCCGTCTGGAGCGCCAAAAGTCTATGTGTGCGCCGTTTTTCTCTTCCTCTGATACACTCCACATCGTTTTACCCTACCACCCGTACTGTGGGGGCCCATTCCAAGAAGCACCCTGCTTGCCTCCAGGGTGCCCTGGGTTTCTTGGCCTTCGATGCTTTTGCCATGGAAGGCGTGACGCTCCCACGCCAAAAAAATCCATGGACGTCCTGGGGTCCCAGGCGTGGGTTTCTTGTGCAAGGCTTCTTGTGGCCGGGCCTCCACTGTACCATCCCTACTCGCCCACCGGCGCCGCCACCCTTCGGCGGAGAGACATGGCGCGCTCCGTGCAGCGGGCGCTCGTCCTCTGCGCCTCCCTCGCCGCCGGCGGCCGCGCCCTCGCGGTGGACGGGCAGGCCCTGCTCCAGACCTCCCCGCGGCAGGAGCCAGGGCCCAGCTCGGTGCACGCTCGAAGGGATATGATCTGGCTATAGGCCGAGTAGGTGGGGTCGGAGGATCGCGCCGCATCGCCGAGGCATCGCCGATGCGGCTCGATGTGCAGCCCGATGTGCTTCACATCGACGTGCATCGCCGGCGCATCGCGGGTGCATCGCCGATGAATCGGCGATGCGGTGCGATCCTCTGACCCCATTTACTCCGACCCCATCTAGGAGGCCTCTATTGGCGCGGGGGGGAGACATCGACCCTCAGCGTTCTCGGGCATCTTTGTGTGTCCTGTAGGTCGAAGAAGAAGAGGAAGAAACGCCGGAAGCAGAAACTTTGGGCGCTCCGCGCGGATTTCTTGGATCCGCGCTGAGGCCCGGAGGCGCCGCCCCTGGCGCGCTTCGCGCGCCAGGGAGGGGGGCCCGGCGCAGATCCAAGAAATCTGCGCGGAGCGCCAAAAGTTTGTGTTTACGTTGTTGTTCATCCTCTAGATTTGGCTCGGGGGGGAGACATCGACCAACAACGTTTTCGGATGTTTTCGTGTGTCCTGTAGGTTTCCCCGTCCCGGGATGCGTGGCAGCAGCTGCGCCTCGCTGAGGGCGTTCCCGGAGTGCCCGGACCGTTCCGAGAGCGGCCTGCCGGAGCCCCGAGTGGGGCTCCTCCTCCTCCTCCTCCTCCTCCTCCTCCGATTTCGGCTAAGTGGGGTCTGTCCCTCTACAGGAGGAATATCCAAAAATAGTTAAAAAATGTCTGGGGACGATTTGTTTGTTGTATTGTTGAGTATGTTTTAACATTGCTTGACTATTTAAATTTTTCGTCCGCCCAAAATCCGCCTGTATTCGGACATGCCCGACATAAGATTTCGGCTGATCCGATTCGATCCCGATGTTCCGACAACCCGATGCGGCCCGATGCCTGCATGGGCGTTGCTGTGGATTCTGGCACAGCCGATCAGATTCGAGTTCAGCTCCGCGCCGATGCGGGCCGATCCGACGCTCGGTTTGATCCGATGCGATCCCCCGATTCGATGTTGACTGATCCTGCAGGAGCTGGCGGTGCCGGGGAAGCGGAGCGCGCTACTGACGGTCTGCTTCGTCTCCAAGGCCTCGCCCGGCCGCCACACGGTCGATCAGCTGACGAACGGTTGCATCCTGAACGTCGCTTCGTTCAAGCTGGCGGCGCCGGAGTCGGACGTGATCTTGATCGCTCCTGCGGAGGAGAATGCGGCTGACAAGATCAAGACCATGTCCGAGAAGGACAGTTCCGTCAAGATCTCTTACGTCGGCACTGGGCCGTGGGAGGTCGGCGGACAGAGCATCCCTTTCAAGAACGCCGAGGGGAGGGGAAGTTCTACGGCAACGGGCTGAAGCTGCTGTGGTACACCCAGACCCTGAAGAGATTCCAGGGGCAGTACGACTACATCTTCATCGCCGACGGTGCCGACCTCTACTTCCAGCGGAACCCCTTCGAGCTTGCCGTGGAATATCCGTCTGCGGACCTGGTGTTCTTCGGCGACCGCGGCGACAGCCCGTCCAGGGGGAAGCAGTTCTTCGACAGGATGATGCCCCGCTGCGAGAGTTCCAAGCGAAATGAGCAGAGCTTGATGGACGCCGTCGACAAGGCGTTCATGCGCAAGGTGGACGGCAGGCCCTACAGCGTCTACGCCAACAGCGGGCTGATCCTCGGCAAAGCAGACGCAATGCTGAGCCTCACCAGCCAAGTGGCCGAGATCGCGGCCGAGTGCCGCTTCTGGATTTCCGACCAGAGCTTCGTCAATTTAGTCCGCTATTACATGATGAAGGAGCGCGGCGAGGACAAGGTCCTCCGAGTATGCCCCTTTCCTTCCCCCTCCTCCTGTCCTTCCTCTTCCCCAAAGGCCTGGCGTTCCCACCACCTGTCGTTGACCCTCATCTTTCCCCTCCTCATATCTCCCCCCTCCTCCTCATCGCTGAAAGGTCTTGATGTTCCCAGACATGGAGAAGACTGCCTCCCTTGGCCATTACAGCTGGTACTTCTGGACGGAGGACGGCTGGCTTGCCAACAAGGACACGAAGGAGAAGTTGTATGTGGTCCATCAGTACGACCGCGCGCCGCAGGCTAAGATGCTGACGGAGCTGATCTGGAACAAGACGGCCGAGTGGATCCGCAAGCACGAATGAGCCGCCGCTGTTGCGGCACGTGTTCGAAGAAATCGGGCATGAGTTGGATCGGAAGCGCTCTTCATGCCGAGAGTTGTAAATCGTAGGTGGCAGTGTTCTGCTGGACCCAAAACAGATTTCAACGTATCACTCCGTGTCATGGCATAGCGTTTGACATAGCATCGCTCAACGCATCACATGCGCGAGAGCTCGTCGCCAAGGTCATCAGGAACGCGTGGGCTAGCAGGGTCCATGTAAGTTTTCGCCTCACGAAACAAGTGAGAACCCCTCAGGCGAGCCGAATCTAAGAACCCCCGATTCCCTCCTCGCCCTTCTTCTCCCCCTCTGTCCCACATCCACCTTCTTTGTTCTTTCAGCTGTAGTTGGGGCGCAGTCGCCCTTGCGACCCTTGGCAGGGCCAAAGGAAGAAGATCCAAAGACGATCGGCATGTTCTTTCTTCGCCTCCTTTCTCCCGTTCCTTCCCCCTCCCTCCTCCACATCCAGACCATCCTCACGTAGCGGTTCTCACACAGACAAGATAGCGGAGCGACCGTTGGAGTTCGATCCGCCTCCGAGGCCCGTATATTTCGGATAGGAGGCGACTGATACAAAACGATGCCGAATCATCAGTCGGCTCCCGCGGCTATCTTGATCGCTCTCTCGTCCTCCGTTTTCTTTAAGGGCGGAACGGTATTTCTTTATGGCTGGTCCCCCTTGCCGCCTTTCTAAGGTAAACCTTCCCCACTATTCCTTCTCTTCATCTCCCTCATACAAAAGATACCGATAGCGCTACTCCCCGGACCTCTCACTGGGCACGTTCTGACCTGGATCTCGAGACGAATCTGGCCTCGGCGACGAGGGAGGGGCAGTGAAAGCGGTCGACGCTTCTCCCCCCGCCCCCATCCGCCACTGCCGAGGGAAAAAGGGGACGTGATTGTGAGGTCATGGCCGTCGTGTATCACAGGTTCACCCGGTACTACAGGTACGCCTCCCGCGAGGCCCAGCGGCTGGAGGCGCGTCGGCCGCGGGGCCGGCGGGTCTGGGAGCGGGGGCGGGCCGAGCAGGGTTCGGTCGGCGGCGGAAGGCGGACGAGCGGGGCGAAGGGGGGGAGGGGCCGGGGCGGGTGCTCGTGGCACAAGGGCTTGCCCAGGAAAGGGGGTTGGGCGGGGAGGGAGGAGGGAGGGGAAGGGAGGAGGGGAAGGGAGCAGGGAAGGAGGAGGGGCGGGGAGGGGAGGGGAGGGAGGAGCAGGGGCAGGAAGGGAGGGGGGAGGGGAGCAGGGAAGGGAGCAGGGAGGAGGAGGGGGGAGGGGGGGACGAGCATGGCGGCGGAGGGGGCGGCAGGACGGGAGGGACGGAGAAGAGGGGGGGGGGAGGGAGGAGCAGGGAGGGAGGAGAGACGAGGAGAGGGGATGGCGGCGAATAGCCAGAGATGGGGGCGGCAGGAGGAGGGGAGGGAGAAGCAGGGAGGAGCAGGGAGGGATGAGGGGAGATGAGGAGAGAGGAGGGCCGAGGAGAGCGATGATGCGGAGGAGGGGTGGCATGGAGGCGCGATGCGGCCGTCGTCACCACCCGCCTGACCACATCAGAGTGTGTGCCCCCCCCCCCAGCTCTGGACAAAACAACTGGAAAGAGCGTGTTCTACCGCTGCTGGCGGAAAACCGGGGGTGGTCACTACCGGTTCGAACCCCTCCCCCCCCCCCCTTCGGAAAACCAGGGGGGGGTCACTACCGGTTCGAACCCCTCCCCCCCCACCCAGTCCCCATCATGAAAAGGGGGAGGGGGGTCACTACCGGTTCGAACCCCCCCCCCCCTCCTCGAAAACCGGGGGGGGGTGCGGACAGTGGTGGGGACAGTGGTGAGGGGACAGCGGGACAGTGGTGGGGACAGTGGGACAGTGGTGGGGACGGTAGTGGTGGGGACAGTGATGAGGACTATGGTGGGAACAGTGGGGACAGTGGGACAGTGGTGGGGACGGTGTTGGTGGGGACAGTGGTGTGGGGACAGTGGGAATGTGGTGGAGACAGTAGGACAGTGGAGAGTACAGTGGTGGTGGGGACAGTAGTGAAGGCAGTGGCGAGGACGGCGGTGGGACAATGGGACAGAGGTACAGTGGGGACAGTGGTGGGGACAGCGGGGACAGTGGTGGGAACAGCGGGACAGCTCAGTGGGACAGCGGAGGAGTCAGTGGGACAGTGGGGATAGTCGGGCAGTGGTTGGGGCCGTGGAGAAAGTGGGGAGAGCGGAACCGTGGTGGGAACAGTGGTGGGGACAGTGGGGACAGTGCGACAGTGGTGGTGGCACCGGTGGGGACAGTAGGGGCGGTGGTGGAACCAGTGGGGACAGTGGTGGTGAGGACAGTGGTGCTGGGAACAACAGTGGGGGATGTGGTGAGGACGGTGGTAGGGACCGGGAGTCGTTTGCTGGCGGTGAGGGGGGGGTGGGGAGGGGTTCGAACCGGTAGTGAACCCCCTCCGGTTCTGGGGGGGGGGAGGTTCGAACCGGTAGTAGTGACCCCCCCCCCGTCCGAGGGGGGGGGGGGGGGGGGGGGTTAGGGGAGGGGAGGGTTTTGCCGGGGGAGGGGAGGGGGGGGGGGAGGGGGGGGGGGGGGGGAGGGGGGGTCCAGCAGGGGGAGGGGGGGGGATTTTCGGAGGGGGGGGGACCCCCCGGTTCCGGAGGAAGAGGGGGGGAATTTTCCACAGTAAAGCGGCGGTGGATCATGCTCTCTCAACAATTGCCTGAACGCTATTCGTCGGCTGTGCCTGCGCTAAAGTACGAGACTCATCGTTTACGCATGGGCCCTGGGCGTGTGTTGGGAGCCATGCTGGTGGAAATCTCTTTCTGCTTCGCTCATGCGGCCAGGTTCGAGCACACGGTGAAATGAAATTCATAGATTGTATCATAAGACACGGCACGGGAAATAATTATAACGCTGGTGACCGAGCGAGTTTCCATTGTTGGGAAGCATTTGGATCGCCAGTTCACCGCAGCATGGCTCTCTCTCTCTCTCTCTCGGTGTTCCTCTCTCTCTCTCTCTCTCTATTTCGCTCTCTCTCTCTCTCTCTCTCTTCTTTCTCTCTCTCTCTCTCTCTCTCTCTCTCTCTCTCTCTCTCTCTCTCTCTCCATATATCCATATATATATACAATATCACGCTGCATGTTTGTATACACGTACACGCGTTCACATACACATGCAACCGGGTATCTATATATATATATATATATATATAGAAATATGTAACTATGTGCGTGTGTAGACGTATGCGCGTGCATGGTTTCCACAAACAGTGCTTGATTTTAGGGGTTCTTATTTCTGCTCTAAGGAACTGGGCCGTGTCTTCGGTCTGGCGGCTATGTGGCCGCCGTTGCCACCCCGTCGCCGCCCCGTCGCCGCCCGTCGACTGGGTTGTGGCTTCGATCTGGCGGCTATGTGGCCGCCGTCGCCGCCTCGTCGCCGCCCGTCGTCTGCGCCTGTCTGTCGATCTAGCGGCTATGTTGCCGCCGTCGCCGCCTCGTCGCCGCCAGTCCTCTGGGCCTGTCTGTCGGTCGCCGTGCTTGTCGCCCCAGTCGCCGCCCCGCCGCCGTCCTGCGCGCCATATACTTCACTACATAGAGTGCCATACGTTGCGCACCACATAAATCGCACAGCATAGATCACACAGAATGCAGCGCATAGATTACGCCACACATATATATAGGCCCACATGGGTTGCACACCAAAGAGTGCACAACATGTATTGCACGACACAGATTGCGCAACACATGTGTGCCACATATGTTGCACCACTTAGCTTGCACACCATAGCTTGCACAGCATGTATTGCACCATACTCTTTGCTTCATATAGAATGCCACACATCGGTCGCACCACATAAAGTGCAGACCTTAGAGCCTCACAGTCATACCATACATCCCCATGGCGAAAGTGTTTCCCTCTTGGGGCCGGAACGACGGCTTGAAGTCTTGAACAGACGCGCGTGAGATAACCGCCGTCGGATCCCGTGAAGTTCGCGCGGATCCAATTGTGGTTTTGGCGTTTGGTTCGGTGGATCCGATTTCCGTCCGCGCGGATCCGATTTCGGATGTGTTGGATCCGTGTTTGGTATTTGTTTTACGGCAGGTCCGATTTGTACCCCGTTTTAAATGGGGAAGGGGGTTCGGTCATGAATGTCCAACTCGTCATCGCCATCTGCACCTCAAGAGAAAAAGCGTTCGTCCTGCGTAAGTAGTGCGCACAACATCGATTGCACTACATGCGCTGCACAACACATGATGCTCCACCTAGAGTGCACAACACATGTGTATGTCCCCCTTCTCTTTCCGTATGGTTGCTTCTCTCTCGTCTTCTCTCCCTCCCTCTCTCTCTCTGTCTCTCTGGATGCGGGGGAGGAGTCGTCCCTCCCTCCCTTTCTCTCCTCCGAGCACCCCCCGAGTCGATCACGCGCAGCCCCATCTTCGCGCTCCTGACCGAGTCCCAGGCGGGCGTGGCCACCATCCGCGGCTACGGCATCGGCCGTGGGCCTCGGACCCTCGCCGCCGGCCGGCGTGGCCAAGCCCCGCTCGCCCACTCAGCCCGGTCCTTTTGCCTGCATCTTCGCTCCCCCTCCTCTCCTCCTCTCCCTCCTCCCCCTCCTCCTCTCCTCCTCCTCCTCTCCTCCTCCTCCTCCTCCTCCTCCTCCTCCTCCTCCTCCTCCTCCTCCTCCTCCTCCATTCCTCAAAGTCGTCATATTTGAAGAGATTCGTCTTCCTGGGTCTATCCTTGCACTTCAGGAAGTTCATCAAGATCGTCTGCAACTCGAAGACTATCTCTGTCGTCTTCATCGGGATGCTGTGGTCCACGCCTCGTTTTGCGCTGCCGATGTTGGGGGATCGTCTGCAGGAGGGGTCGCCACTATCTTACCGAAGCTCGCGTCTGAGCTCGATGTTACCAGCAATGCTTCGGCCGTCGTGCAAGGAAGGGTCCTTCGAGTCGACGTAGTCGGGCAGGGGTTTCAGCTGGTGCACTTCAATATCCACAATCATGGTCTCAATGCAATGCAGATTGACGAGATATGTGCGGAGATCGACGCTGCGCGGGTACGGGCAGCCGCTGACCCTCTTCACTTCTTGGTGATCGTGCAGGGCGACCTCAACTTCGGCCCTGATGAGGCGTTGCTCCTCCAACGGCCTGAACCAGCTCGTGCTACTGATCCTCGGAATCATCGTGCAATGGCAGCTCGGTGGCTGAGGACATTAGGACTTTTTCTGGAGATTTCTTCGGAGTCACCGACGCACTACACAAAGGACACCAACTCGGTCAGCTGCCTCGATCGGTTCTTCTGCTCGGTGCCAGGATGGATGATGTGCCAAATGTGTGCGGAGTCCTCCACCATCGGAGAGCCCGAAGAATTATCTCGTTCTTTGATATCGGACCACGCTGCTCTGCTCACGGTGCTTCGTCAACGTCACGCGCGCCCCAGATCTGAGCAGCCAGTTCCTCGCCATATCTTCGAGAGCCCTCTTTTTCGGCAGCGTATTGAGGGCATGTTCAAAGACGGCGCTGGCGCTGAGACGGTGTGCTCGGCGGCAGTCTACCAGGAACACTTCAAGGATATGTTGAAAGAGGCTGCCCGTGAAGTTCGTGACTGGATGTTTGTCCACCATCCTGCTGGCGACGAAACAGCGTTGCTCGTTGCCCGAGGATGTGCGCGAGCAGTATGGAGTCAAGATCTTCCTCTCGCCCGTCGGCTGGTGGCGACCTCGGCTACCGCAGCTGGCATGCTCGACATCGGAGGTTCACAAGTCGTCCTTCGGCATCCTGAATCGTTCCACATGTGGACGGATGGGGTTCATATGAGGCTCCTGGAAAAAGAGATTTGTGTTGCCGCTGACGCTGCTGCAAGCTCTCGTTCGACCCGTCCGCCTTCTTCGTTTCGTCGTCATCAGTTGTTGGAGCGCCAAGCTGCGATCTGGGCCCCGTTCTCACGGAGGTTGGTTCTGCGTGCTGTTCGAGACGGCAATCGGCTTGCTGCTTCTCCTGAGGAAAGGGTTGCTGCCCTCACGGAGTATTGGCGTCCTGTCTTCTCGCGCTCGGAAGTCGATCTCGAAGCCGCTCAGACTTATATCGAACAGCAGTGTCCCTCACCTGTGCTCCCAGACGTCCCACCACCTTCGAGAGCGACGCTTCGAAATATTGTTTCTCGTGCTCGCCACTCTGCCCCTGGGATCGACGGACTGCCGTGCGCCGCATGGGCTGCTGCCGATTGCTGCCTGGAAGTATTATGTCTTATGATGGACTGGATCTTGCGGGGCCAGTCTCTCTTCGACTCGGCCAGCGTTACTCTGCAAGCGTACCTACCTAAGGGATCGGAACACGAAGACCTGGCCTCTGGGGGCTGCATTCGCACTGCAGATAAGATCAGGGTCCTTGGGCTGCGCAACACCGACTTGAAAATACTGACGTCTGCCGTGAACCGATCACTTAAAGGCGTCGTCGACTCCCTCGTCCCCCAGTCGCAGCGCGGCTTCGTTCAGGGCCGAAACTTTGGGTACAACATCCTGGAGCTAGACGGCTTCAGTCGTATCGCTGGGGCCCACCCGCTGGCCCCGTCTAGGATGCCGCTGCTGGTCTCGTTCGATTTCGGCCAGGCCTTCCCGGGCCTCTCCCAGGAGTTCATGATGCTTGTCCTCGCTCACCTTCGCCTGCCACTCCCAGTGATGCATTTTCTAACCTGGTTGTACTCTGCGATAGAAGGGGTCGTGGCCTACGGTGGCCTGCTCCACTCGGTGTATTGGCTGAGGTCGGGGATCATACAGGGCTGCGGCCTGTCTGGGACCTTGTACGCGTTGTGCACGGCCCCGTTCCTGATTGACTTGGAATGCTCTCTGGAGGATTCTGGACTTGGCCTGGCTAGGGCCTGCGCGGACGATATTGGGGCTGTCTTGTTCGGGGCTCGCGGGCTCCAAGTGCTACGCCGTGTGATGACTACTACGAGGCTCTTTAATGGGCTTTGCCTCAAGGTCAGCAAATGCAAGGTCACCCCGCTGCACGAGACGTTTGGCCCTGATCTTCAGGAAAGAACACGTGCTCTCCTCGGTCGGCTTGTTCCCGAATGGCAGGCTTTCGAGGTCGCGGCCCACCTGTTGTACCTTGGCGTTCTCTTGGGACCCGACGTCACGATCCAGATGCAATGGGACGCTGCTCGGATGAAACTAAAGTTACGGGCCAGGCTCCTTGGTTCTGGCTCCGCTCCCTTGGGGATCAACGGCGTGCTCTACCGATCAAGAGCCCTCCCTGTCTTGTCCTACCTGGCTCAGTTCTTCCCCCTGCCTCCCAGGACGGTCGCTTTCGAGCTCTCTGTGCTGACTCAGGTATTCCGTGCTCCCATGGGTACTCTGTCTGCCTCTGGCTGGGCCCAGCTCTCTGCGTGGGGTGGCCCCAAGATCCCACTCACGCAACATACATGTGCCGCTGCGTTGACCCGAGCTGCCACCATCACGCTCAGCGAACATACCCACATACGCTCTAACATTACTAACACTACCCTTTCTTGGAATGATGATCTGCTGCAGGGAAGATCCGATGATGCTTCCCTCGCGACCAGTCGCACTCGGGTGGATTGGATGTGTGACGCTGGGCGGCACTAGCGGCTACCGCCCATCCTGCAGACCTATTCCTGGCTGCAGCAAGGCTCTGCGTGTGCTGGCTACCCTTCGGACATCCTACGCTGCTGTACGTCTGCTATTGCTTCGGAACTGTTGGTCACGGGACGTGCACTCAAATTTCAGATTGCAGCCACCACAGCACTATACGAGCAGTTCGTCACACCGTTCCCGTTGTACGTGATCTTCGAGACCAGGCTGGCACGCTACTTTACTATGTATGAACCCTTCTTACATCGGGTGCCGTGGGGGGCGATTCAGATGCTGATGCAGCTGCTGCCCACGAGCTGGGTCTTCCCTGTTATTAAGACATGGGCCTCTGCTTGGCTCACAAGTTATCGAATAAGTTACTCTTCTGGAAAACGGCGGTGTATCTTTGGGTGTCATACTGGTGCTGACAGGCAGTGCCACTACATGCGGTGCCAGCGCCTTGTTCGGGCTGTCGGCCGTGCTCTGGGTCGCTCACCCCCTACCTTTCTTCATGAGCGACTGTGCCTGACGGCGCCGTGTGTCGAACGGGTGGAGGAGCTGGTGGTTATGTACACTACGTATCACACTGTTCGTTATCGTGAGGGAGTTACTACTACTGCTCTGAACTCTGCGACTCGGGCCGCGGTCAGAACTCTACGAATGGCGTCTCCAACAGACCAGCTGGATAAGAAATGGAAGCCGCCGCTGTTCTTCATACCGACACTGCTCACGGTCACCGATGATCTCTCCACTTCCTCGGCTGACGACCCCGACGTCGACCATGCCGCGCGGGGCGCTGCGAACGGGGAAGGCTTGGCCCCTGGCCGGTCTCCATGCCTGACACCACGGCTCGTTCCTACGACGCCAAGCCCCGGCACTCCGTCGACGCTGATCGCCACACCCGAACGTGTTGGACATAGTGAAGGTTGTGGCGTCAATGTTACTGGCAGAACGCAAAGTCCTGTGCACGGGTGCTCCTCGAGCCCGTTGCTGCAGGCTCAGTCGTCGCCGTTGTTGCTGGATGTCACTGGCAGAACGCAAAGTCCTGTGCAAGGGTGCTCCTTGAGTACGTGGCAGCAGGCTCAGTCGTCGCCTATGCCGCTGGAAGCTACTGGCAGAACGCAAAGTCCTGGGCACGGGTGCTCCTCGAACCCGTCGCTGCAGGCTCAGACGTCGCCAACGTTGCTGGATGTTGGTGGAAATCCTGGCCACCGCGCTTCAAGAATGACCTGTGAGCGTGGCGACGAAAATATAATCTGCCGCTCGCATGCACGCGCGGTCCCCGCATCCAAAGCGTGGCCGTCCGCCGCTCACGTGGCTCCATGGTTGTCCTCTCGACCCGCCCTCTTGCTCCTGCTGAGGTCCCTCCTGCTGCTGCCTCTCCCCCTCGCTCTCTCGCGCCGCCTCCCGCGGCCATGATTGAAACATCGCTCGCTGCCCACATGCACGTGATGATCGACATAGGCAGGCGCCCGCCGCCCGTCCCGCCGCCTGCTGCCGCCGCCCTTGCTTCTCTTTCCTCCGCTCTGGTCGCTGGCGAAGCCAGTTGCTCGAGTGTGGAGAGGTGTGATCAGCTGTTGAGCTGAGCACAGTGGTCGGTCGGCGGCACCTCCCCTCTACGCTGCGCTCCTCCTCCATTCCTCCTCCTCGCCGGCAATGGTCCATCCGTTTTCTCGCATCCCGCCCCCCCGCGTCGCCGCCCCATTTGCACGCCTCCCTCCGATCCCCATTCCTCCTGCCCCCCCTCCCTTGGAGTCCACGGCACTCCGCTGCCCAGCGTCTCCCCTCCTCTCCCCTGCCCTCCCCGACGCTCCTTTCCCGTCCGCCTCTGCTCGCTTCGCCCTCACTGCACCCCCCCTCCTCCTCAGCTGCCTCGTGCGCATCCCTCTGCCCTCTGATGCTGACGCTGCAGCTGCTGTTGCTGCTCGCCCTCCTCCTCCGCCTTCGTCTTCCTGGTCCTCCTGATAGTCATTAGCTTTCTCCGCCGCCTCCTCCTCCTCTTACCGCCTCCTCCTCCTCCTCCTCCTCCTCCTCCTCCTCCTCCTCCTCCTCCTCCCACGAGGAGGAGGAGGAGGAGGAGGAGGAGGAGGAGGACAAAGGAGGAATAGAGGGGATGAGGAGAAGGAGAGAGGAGAAGAAGGACGAGGAGGACGGCGCAGGAAAACGAGAAACGAGGAGGAGGAGGAGGAGGAGGAGGAGGAGGAGGAGGAGGAGAGAGGCGAATGAGAAGAGCGACGACGAAGAGGAAGACTAGGAGTAGGAGTAGATGGAGGAGGTGGGGCCAGGGATGGAGTTCTCGCTCTCGTTCCCATCCCCCTTGTGCTCCTCTTCCGCCCGCGCTGGCGCACTGGCCCCTTTCGATTACATCAGCGAGGCGTGTGCCCTCAACGGGGGGCGCCAGACGGGAAGGGGCAGAGGGGGGAGGAAGTGGAGAGCAGGCAGGAGGAGGCAGGACGGAACAACGAGGACGAGGACGTTGAGGAGGGAGAGAGGAGGAGGGAGGTGGAGAAGCGGAAGGAGGAGGACTGCGACGATGGCAACGACACACGAGAATGAGGAGGGGAGGATGCGTTGCGAACCCGAGGCCATATTATTCTTCGGATGGCCGACACCGCCCTCGACACCAACGTGTCGGCGAGAGACCCGCTAGCCCAACCGCGCTGCGTTTTTGGCCGCGTCGTCCTCCTCCACGTCCTCATGTTGCTGCGCATCGCATCCTCTCCCTTCTCCACATATTTCCTCGGTCTCCTGGTCATGCACCTTTTCCCCGCCCCCCACTCCGGCCCCCACTACCACCACCACGACCACAACTAGTACGAGTACGAGTATTACAAAGTGTACTACTACTACTACTACTACTACCACTACCACTACTACTACTACTACTACTACTACTACTACTACTACTACTACTACTACTACTACTACTACTACTACTACTACTACTACGACTACTACTACTACTACTACTACTACTACTACTACTACTACTACTACTACTACTACTACTACTACTACTACTACTACTACTACTACTACTACTACTACTACTACTACTACTACTACTACTACTACTACTACTACTACTAACTACTACTACTACTACTACTACTACTACTACTACTACTACTACTACTACTACTACTACTATACTACTACACTACTACTACTACTACTACGACTACTACTACTACTACTACTACTACGACTACTACGACTACTACGACTACTACTACTACTACTTACTATACTACTACTACTACTACTACTACTACTACTGCTGCTGCTGCTACTGCTGCTGCTGCTGCTGCTGCTACTACTATACTACGCTACTACTACCTACTACCTACTACCCTACTACTACTACTACTTACCTACTACTACTACTACTACTACTACTACTACTACTACTATTACTACTACTACTACTACTAACTACACTACTACTACACTACTACTACTACTACTATCATGCTTATTAGTACGATTACGACGGCTACAACTATTACTACCACTACTACTACTACTACTACTACTACTACTACTACTACTACTACTACTACTACTACTACAACTACTACTATGACTACTACTATTACTACTACCTCATACTACTACTAGTACTAGCACTGCTACCACTACTACTACTACTACTACTAC